GTACTTTTAAAACTCTGTACTGAAGTTATGACTAGTGGACAAATATTCCTTGCTCTGTAACAAAACTATATAATTTATTAAAATATGAAAATTAGTACTATTTTTTATTATTAGCTTAAAAAAAATTCTGATGACGTCAATAGCATAGGATAAAGAATTAAAAAGTGGAAAAAAAATTTTATCACAAAAAAAATGTTAAACATTCTCAAGAGCTGCCCTTCAATTAATACAGTCGAAATGACAAGTCTTGTATCTACAGTGACGATCTACAAGTTAGGCCAGTAAGTAAGAATTTGCATATGAAATAAAAAATTCAGAAACCTTTAATGCATAGGAACATAATCAAAAATATATACAGATTGTGTTCGTGCACATAAAGTATATACAAGTAAGTACTTTTAAAATAAACTATCCAGCGAATAACTGACAAAATAAAACACCTCAAAGCCGAAGGCTAAATCAATAAATACTGGTGTAAAAAACAATAAAACCTATGATGAGATAAGGGTTTCAAATTAACAACAACGCAAAACTAGAAGTTATCACAGCAATGGATGCATTTTGAGAGGTAAGATAATTTACTGGAGAACATCATCAAGAAATAAATCTATTTCAACACTTGCCACATCTTCAGAAACTTGCTGTTCTGAAGATAAGCCATTGAAGATGAAACGTAACTTCATGACAGAATGTTTGGATCACTGAGATTTAATTAAGAGCCATTTACACCTTGAAGATTTTACCATAACCACTGAACAGACAGTTACATGGTTTACCATACACAGTGAACACAAAGGGTTACATGGTTTACCATACACAGTGAACAGACGGTTACATGGTTTACCATCACCACTGAACAGATGGTTACATGGTTTACCATACACAGTGAACACAAAGGGTTACATGGTTTACCATAACCACTGAACAGACGGTTACATGGTTTACCCTAACCACTGAACACAAAGGGTTACATGGTTTACCCTAACCACTGAACAGACGGTTACATGGTTTACTCTAACCACTGAACACAAAGGGTTACATGGTTTACCCTAACCACTGAACAGACGGTTACATGGTTTACTCTAACCACTGAACACAAAGGGTTACATGGTTTACCCTAACCACTGAACAGACGGTTACATGGTTTACCCTAACCACTGAACAGACGGTTACATGATTTACTCTAACCACTCAACACAAAGGGTTACATGGTTTACCATACACAGTGAACACAAAGGGTTACATGGTTTACCCTAACCACTGAACAGACGGTTACATGGTTTACCCTAACCACTGAACAGATGGTTACATGGTTTACCATACACAGTGAACACAAAGGGTTACATGGTTTACCATAACCACTGAACAGATGGTTACATGGTTTACCCTAACCACTGAACACAAAGGGTTACATGGTTTACCATACACAGTGAACACAAAGGGTTACATGGTTTACCCTAACCACTGAACAGACGGTTACATGGTTTACCATAACCACTGAACACAAATGTTACATATTATGTTCATCAATTTCACTTTAAGTTTCTACGACATAAGTATTTCTTTCACAGCTTTACACTTAGAACCGTTGAAAGCAGTTACAGATTTTGTTTCTTTCACGAGTACCTTTGCCTGGTTGTACAATATTCTTTACCTGATTTGTCTGTTCAAATGTTTTCTCATTTTTTATCAATTCTTTGGAGATACTTTACCTCTCCGGTGCTTTAAAACATAATAAATAACTTTACACAAACCTGAAAATGTTATACACACTAAATCCTCTACTGTTCACAGACTCCCAAGCACACGGCAAAACATGCAAATTAATAATGCTCATTTCCCTTCCACTAATGGTGGCAGAAAAAAATAAAAACAGTCACTCTACTTAAAGAAAAGAAATACAAGTTCAAATCCTTTTAAAATCCACAGCATTTGAATAAATAAATATACACGCAAATCATACAGATTAACACAAGGCAAATCAAAAGGTTTTTACATCTTCAAGCACGAAGCTGCACAATGTGCTATTTTTAGCTGTGCTCACCATAGGGATCAAACCCCAAATTTAGCATTATAAGTTCTCCAGAAGAAGAAGAAACAGTTCGTCATACAAATTTTCCATTACCTCTCATGTCATATCTTTCAAACAGAAATGTGTTTTTATAGCTGACAAGAATTCCTTTCGAGTTTTGTGTAGTTTTAAAACAGCTTTCTTTACAACTCTATGTGCATCATGTTACAGAAAGTCTACGATAATCATAAATATATCAAAACACATTACGGTATATAAAAAAACAAGTTTTTTTTAAACATATTAATTTAACATCGAATTTGATGAAATTATTGTCTATATTTTGATACAAAATTTGCCTTCGTAACTATAAAACTTTTAAGCTGACATTAACAAAATGATTATTACAGCTTCATCATTACTACTTGTAAAAGACCCAAAAATCTTGTTTGTTACAAACATGTATTACAGAACTTTAACTGTGTGTCGGTAATATGCAAATAACTGCTATAACTTTTAACTAAAACATAATGTACGGAAAATGCAGATTGTAGAAACACATAAAAAAAAACAACAACAAAGAAGTAAAAACACTGTGATACTTAAACATATATTACTTATATATATATTTTATTATTGCCAGGTAGGGTTACCAACTATATGGACTTTATTAGAACTGTACGGATTTTACTACCAGTTCGGAGGACAGAAGCTTTTTTTTTTTGTAGTTAAGCACAAAGCTACACAATGGACTATCTGTGCTGTGCTCACCACAGGTATTTAAGCCCAGTTTTTAGTGTTATAAGTCAGTGAAGTTACTGCTGTGCCACTGGAGGACAAATTAGAAGAAATTCATACACCTTAGCATTATATTACAAAAGGTAACAGAAATGTGTTTATTGTTGTTATTTTTTTATGCTTAACGACTTCCTTGATTCTAACAGTTTCGCACTCCTAAACACAGAGCCAACCAAAACATTTAACAACAATGTTAAATCTTTGTTGAACAATAGCAAAAGCCTACTTAACAAACTCAAAGCTAAGTCATTAGGGATTATGAACCCTTGCCCACCACGTCTGTACAGACTTCTTAAACCACACAAAATGAACATCCCTATCAGACCTGTTGTTTCCTATACTAATGCTCCCGCTTACAAAAGGCTCATAATATTTTCTAAAATCTAACTGGTTTTAAACGTACGTTTAGTATAAAAAAACTCTCTGGAGCTTGTAGAAAAAATCAAAAATATAACGATACCAAAACTGTTTCCTTTGCCGTTTGTAGTCTTTTCACCAGCATACTTGTTATCGAATGTAAACAAGCTGTTAAAGATTTAATGGATAAAGAAAAATAAACCCAGGATTTAAGAACAATAATAACCACTTCAAATTTAATGACCAAATATATAAACAGAATGACGGGTTAGCCACGGGTTCCCTCCTCTGTCCTTCGCTTGTAGAAGTTTTCATGGATAATTTAGTGACAAAATTGCTTGGTGATGAAAAGAAATTATACAAAACATGCCAAATATTAATATGTTGATGATGTGATTTGTCTTTGGACAGGCTCCAAACATCAACTTAATAAATCATGTAACTCTTCTAAGTTTACAAAACAAATTTACTATGGAATTTGGTGAAAACGGAAACATTAATTTTTTTGAAATAAATAATGGCAAATATTCCTTTAAAATCTACAGAAAATTGACGTATAGTGACACCATCATACTTGCTTCTTCAAGACATCCAATATCTCACAAACTTGTCGTGTTTCATAGTTTGTTACACAGGCTTATCACTGCACCCTTGTCATCTGATGATTATTAAACAGAATTAAAAACAACAAAACAAATTACTGTCAACAAGGGTTATACAACAAAGTTAATTGACACATTGTTGTTTAAAATATTAACAGCCATAAACTTAAAATCATTGTCCACATACTGTACCAAACAACAACAAAAATAAATGGTTTAGGGTGAGCTACATTGGAAAACCTTCTCACAAAATACATAACACACTGAACAAAGAAATCTACACACCAGCCTTCAAACGTACAAACAATCAATGCAAACTGTCATGCAACAACAAAGACAAAATCAAAAAGTAACAGCAACAGTGGTGTTTACCAATAAATGTATCGAGACTGCATTAACGTATATGTAGGTCAAACAGGACATCCCATAGAAACGAGAATTAAAGAACAATAAATATCCTGGAAGTTTTAGAAATAAATAGGAGTCTCAAAACATATCCAGAAAAAGTTCTAAATGACCAAACCAACTTAAGCTCCTCCCCACTTCTCACCCTACTTGTCTCAAGGTGAAGGTCAAGATTACTTTGTTTAAACATATATAAACCTATTTACGAACCAGCTAAGTTCGTACCTGATGATGCCGTTACTGCCCAAACAATGGTCATTAATAAATAAAGTATTTGTGAAACATACAATTGTCTTTGTTTTTTCCTCAATTCTGTAATAATACTAGTCTCCACTGTGGTCTATTCCAGGGGCATTCTTTTGTTGGTGTTCCTATAACATCAACAAAAGAATGCCCCTAAGGCATTCTTTTGTTGATGTTACATCTTATTTCACTTTTGAGAACCAATTTTTTGTTTTTATTATTTAGTTAAACTTGTCCAATTTTGCTTAAATATTACAAAACAGTAATGTTTTCTATCATCTGGCATTTCTGTTGAGCATAGGTCTATCAATTGATGAAAATTGTTGAATTAATTAGTCTTAGTTAAACCAAATAGTAGTCTCACATATTGTAATTATAAAACAAAAAATATTACAATTGATTAATTTCAATTAATCATAATTCTTTTAATGAGAGGTCTGGGGGATCACCTCCTCTCAGTCATCCCCATTTGCCCAGAAATTCCAGTTTCAAGTTGGCAACCCTCTTGTCAAGGAAAAATATATTTGTGTACTGTACTTTATAAAATAGTAAAATATGTAAATTTTTAAAAACAATTTTTTTACAAGTTATAATATACTACCCTGAATAAACTTAAACATTTAATGTTAATTAACTAACACATAAAATAATTTCTGATATAAATCAGAGACTAGTAAGTTTGCTCGCGAGTCTTTTTACTAAGCCTAAAGGACGACTTGAAATCACTTTATCATCACCCCAATATACTCATCATTCAGGATTTACACGACTTACATATTTCTGACAAATAACAGTCAAAATATGGAAACACAACACAGTTAATTAAAATATCTGTCCATCTACTACGCTGCACCAGCAATAAAAAAAATCCATGAAATGCGTGCTTATTTTTCTCATATTTAAAGCTACAACGCTTTAAAACGCTCTCTTCCTATCGTCTGTTTTCTGTATACAGATGCATTAAGTTTTTATATTAATCAAATAATAACGGTAAAAAAGTATGCCGTGTCTTCTTTACTTCTCGCAAAAAAAAATATTGTGCACAAGAAATAAAGGTATGTAACAACAAAAATGTAATGATAATAAATTAATTTCCAATATACAAACTGTCACGTCATAAGCTTCCGATAGTCTTACAGGAACCTCCCGTGAATTTGACAAAATTAGGAATGTCAACACTCAGCATGTTTTTCAACCTCCCAAAACTCACATCTAGACAATCTTATATGACTTGTTGTACATATTGTTCAAAGTTTCTACTGAAAATTAGAACTGTTAACACTTTCTTAATCTTCCCAGAAATTGAAATTTACAGTTAGTCTGCGACCTTTATAAATATTTTCTCATAGCGACTGCGATACTTACAACAATCTATTTCCAAAACTTTTTGTTACGAGATCATTTATGCCACTAAAACACAAGAGAAATACAGTGTGTAAAATTTTTTAAGAAACAAAAGTTCAGCTTTTTTATCATGCTCTCAATAATTGCCCTTGAAGAGAGAGAGAGAGAAAAAAAAAGGAAAAACCTTTAGTATATATATATATTCTGGACTGGAAGCACGTTTTTTTTTCTTTTTGTGGTAGAAATTCTTAGTAATACTGTGGAAAGTAAGGCTATTCAGAACTTCTTCGTGTTAAGAAAAAAATTAAAAATTTCACGAAAACTTGCAACACTGATGTTCACTCCTTTCTTGAGATTCGTTTAATGTTGACGGAACTTCGGTAGAGCAGCCATTGTAGTGAGAACTGGACATTACTGCTTCACGGGTAAGTTGAGCAGCTATTTCCATAAACAGTTTGTCTACATTGTCCGCTTCCTTTGCCGATGTTTCGATGAAATACATATCATTAGCTGTAGCGAAATCTTCTCCTATAACACTTGGGACTTCTCGGTCTTCTCTGTCAATTTTGTTTCCTGAAAATACAAAGAAATTAATATTGCGCGTCTTGCTCGGAACTAAAATTGTAGACATTTAGAAATAACTTAGGTTGTGTTACTTGCAAAGTTAAGAGATGTTAAACATACTGTTACGTCTCCGTTTCGTTAATTGATTTTTCCGTAACTTCGTTCCGACGAAATTTTACCAAAACACGTCTTTACTTAATAAAACTGGTTTATTCTTTCCGAATATAACTTTACCGATACACTGAATTTCAACAATCGCGCTAAACAAACGAACATCAATAATACTTCTGACTGCAGTTCAATTACTCACTGACTATCCACACATTACATTCCCCTCTTTTATATACCAGCCTACCCTACTAGTAAATACTAGAGCATTCGCCAAAGTACATGATAATTCTAGAAACGTTGCGTCACTGTAGTCATGTGACTGCTGACGCAACAATACAATAACAACAGATCTCTGTACTGGGAGAAAATAAATTAAGGGACATGCAATTTTTATGTCGAACAAAATGTTTTCTTCTCGATATATGTTGTCATATTCTAATTATTTAATACTTGTTTTAAGTATTAAATATTGTGTGTATTGTTTGTTTACTTCCACTTGCAAGTTCTATTCAATTATCTAGTGAAAATAATTCAATGTAACTTTTTTCTTTAAACATTAGGCCTAAGTTTACAAATAATATTCAAATGGAAATGCCTCACTAATTGGTACAACATAAAAATAAACTTACTTGTATAATTCCATGATTAATTGAATGATATAGCTGAATAAACTCAATACCTAATGATTTCAATAATTTACTAAATGCTTCATGAAACTAATACCCAATAAATTGACCAATAATTGAGTATTGACCACTCAATACTCATTCCTTAAAGCAAAATACTGACCCTCATATTTAAAATCTAGCCTCACCTCTCAATACTCTCCAAACTTACTAGATTTTTGTGTCATCAAATTTAGAATTTTCTAGGCCTACTCCCACAAACTTACTTGGTCTTAATATCATGCACCCTCTATAACATGTGAATTAAAACATTAAAATTAGAGCTTATAACAGTGTATTTCAATAAAATATATTAAGAACAGCTTATTTAAAAATAAAAACATTAACAAAGAAAAGACAAAAATATCTAAATTAAAAACTGTGATCTCCTAAACCGTCACAGATTTTCTAATGGGATAAAAATGGATTCTTGTGCACCGAAATGTTACACTGATACTATAAATTAAGTACTAGTCTGTAATAGTCTTTCTTGCTTGCTATTCAAACAGGTGAAATTATGCTTGATCTACTTGTTATTTGATAGTTCTTGGCCAATGTTCAAAGAGCAAACTTTGCAATCTTGAATTTCTTTGACACTAGTTTTAACACACACACACACGTGTAAGTTATGACACAATGAAATACAGAATAAACGTAATATATTATTACACTAAATGTTTTTTAAAAAATGCTAAAAATTTTAATTTGAAGGTAAATTGGTAAAATAAAAATAATCATAATTTCGATAAATTCAGTGCAAAAGTAAGAGAATCAACTGACAATTCAAGACACAGGGAAATGTAAACCTTAGAAACTGTATTGTTAGGCTACAACGTTATGGTTCAGTTGTTTTAAAATTAATGCAATATTAGTTATATCATTAAGAAAAAACTATTTATAAAATATGCTAGTTAAGTAACGATATCTTTTTGACATAAAATTTTGGTCCTCACCAAAACATAATTCTAAGACAACTGACATATTTCTACACCTTGTTCGTGTGTGTTTTTTTTTTTTTTGGGCATATTTTGTTTCTGACTTCAGTTTTAAAATTAAGTTTCATGACTATGGAAAATTTGCCCTATAGATTGGGTGTTGAACAAATTAGTTGTGAATTAGTATGGGTATTGAACTAGCCAACAAATTCGTCAAACCGATCCATTGATTATCAACACCCAAAACGGAAGTTTAAGCTTGTAAATTGTACAAGAATGATACTGTTAATCTCATCCGTGGTCTAAACTCCGTAATAAAAAAACTAGGGCAGTACACCATGTCAGCTCTGACTTAATAAAGAACTTAAATGCAGTCTGATTTGCTGGGCTTGATGTGTTTTAATTACAGTTTTCGGGCAACTTTATTCACATAACTATCATAAACATAACTTTAAGAGTAGTTTAGTCATCAGTTATTTCAACATGTTACAACTAATTACAAATACCTGTTTAACCCATGATCATTCAGTCTCAATTCTAACACCATTATATTTACTTAATGATCGATTCCTTCACTAAACATATTAACTAAAGGACTTAGAGTTACCTACAAAAATTATTAACTTATTTTTTCTGTAAAAAGGTACAGTTAGGTAGGATACCTTACCAACTAAAACTTATTATTAACTTATTTTTTCTGTAAAAAGGTACAGTTCGGTAGGATACCTTACCAACTAAGACTCGTAGAACTCTTGGGTTTGCATACTGCTCGATCTCTCTCAGCCACCCAGGTAAACAGTCAAAAGTTGGCTGCGTGCTAATGTCATATACTAGAATCAAAGCATGAGCACTGCGGTAGTAACTTTGTGTGATGGAACGAAATCTTTCTTGTCCTGCAGTGTCCCAGATCTGGAGCTAAAATAGACAGTTATTTCCATGTTTGTAAAGAAAAAATTATAAAGAAAAACTTGTAAGTTATTAAACTTGTGAGTCATTAAACTTGTTAGTTATTAAACTTGTGAGTCATTAAAC